TCTTTCATCATCTTAAGCAGTGGGGCCTCTGCCTCTCATCTCTCTGAGCATACCTCTCTGCGATTGTGGCACATCAGGTCCCAGACTCTCCTCCATTTCAGTTCTTCAGAGACCCAGTTCTCACATGTTTCCTCAAAAACCTTGCCCATGTGTACCCAGACACCCACCCTCTGCCACCACAATGGTTCCTAACCCTTCTACTCCACTACTTTACAACAGCACCATTTGAGCCCCTGGCCACCATTGATCTGTGTTTTCTCACCTTCTAGACAACCTTTTTGGTGGCCATCACCTCAACAAGGCATGTCAGTGACCTGTCTGCCCTCCACCATGACTACTCTTATCACCAACTGTATCTGGACAATGCTGCCTTTTCACAGACAACTCTTTCCTTCCTAAGGTAGTTTTATAGTTTCGTTTGTCCCTTCCAGTCTTTCTCTCTACCTTCTTTCCATCTCCGTCCACTCCTCAACAACGAATCCCGCACACCTTGGACATTCAACAGGCTCCCACCTCCTATGTCTCCCACACCCAACCCTTCAGGAAGACCTCCCACCTCTTTATCAGTTACCAGGCTCTGTCCAAAAACCTCTAGATCTCCTCAAAGTGAATAGCAAAATAGGTGACGTCCACTGTCCAACTTTCCTGTCAGATGGACCCAGCTCCATAGTGGTTGACTTGAACTTAGGGGAGATCATTAGCACAAAGGTACATACATGTGAGGGGTACACTGGTGCATCTTTTTCAGCTTGCAAAAGCTCTAGAATATTCTGGTGAGGCTCCGTGCATGCTCAGAACAACTTTCAGTGCGACTTCACAGAGGACCACTCAAAGAACCACTGTTACAGGTAGGTAATGTGTTCTTACATGCCATCAAGTAAACTCAGACATGACAAGCCTTGCAATGGTATATAAAGAGGAAATTAAGCAAAAAGAGATCCCACAGGAAATCAGTGGCCTTTCCCAGTATAACATATAAAGGAGGGGATAAGAATATACAAGTTGATTAGGATTAATCATAAAAATGAGGCAAATGACAAAGGAATGGCTGCGAGGCTCATGGCTGTAAACCAGTAATTCTTAATACTGTATGTTATGAGAACTGCCAACTCGCTAGCTGCAAGGCATATATTAATAAAATACTGCAATTAATGGCTCCTGTGAGTATTCATTCCTAGAAGAGGTTACTCACTGTGTTGCTGCATAATATTCTATTTTTACTTTATTTTCCACTCAGCTTTTCCTGAATGTGAATTATTCTGACACATCTCTGCAGTAGGGGTTATTGGGTCCTTTAATCGCTCTCACTGCAGACAGGCAGCAGAATTAACTTAGCTTCAGGGAAGTCTGCCCATTGCACTTCTGTGTGGGTCATTTCCCTGGGCTTATCCTCTTTCCTTTCAGAAGGCACACAAAAGGCGGGGTTGGGGGGGATAGTGGACTTTTGTAAATTGACTCATTCTTATACATTGTAGAAAAGAGGTTAACTCTCCTCTTCTGTATTTTTTCATTAACAAGTAGAAAAGTAGGGAGGAATTACCTTTGTAACAAATGACAGCTTCATGACCCATTGCTATGCCATGTTTTTATTTAAAAAGAAATCCAGTGTTCCCTCCTTTTTAGAAAATATTAAGTTAAAACAAGTACTATACTCATCATTAAAAATTTTCAAGTGCTTTCATAAACATTTTAACAAGTTATTTTCTGTCTTTTAGATCTATGTTTTAGATTAGCAACTAATTTGTGTTACTGCTTTTTATACTAATTATTTGCACTAATCTATTGAAGAATTTTCTGAAGCCATGTAAGAACTGTTTAAACTGCTTAAATTTTTTCTGTATGTCTCACGATACTTTGTCTAAATTCATTTGGAAGCACAATTTTTCAAACATTTGCATATGTTTCAGTATAGCTTCCCAGTCTTCCTTTAAAGGGTACTGGAGTTTACAATCCTAAAAAAAAATGTAATGGCCAAGCCCCCATTTACACCTGCTGATAATGGCAAGCAGCATAACTTGAAACAGCTTCTCCCTGGCAGCTAACAAGTCCTTGCTGGAATTTTCTGTGCAGACCAGTCTGGTGGGCTGGCACAAACCCAAGAATCCAGCAAGGACTGCCAGTGAGAAGCTGCTGCAAGTTTTGCCATTTGCATTCCCCAGGCATAACCAAGCAGTAGGATTCGGGCAAATTGGGTTTTTTTAATTATTGTTATTAATTTTGGTACAAAATTGTTTTTAAAAATCCAAGAGAGAACGTTACATCTCCTAAGAATAAGTTCTGGCTTGGGCTTTGCTTGGAGCTCTTTATACTTTATAGATGGTAGAGATGATTTCATGCATTAACTTTTTTTCAATCTGGTTGGCTATTTTGCCAACAAAAATAGTTAAAATGCATTATACTATGAAAACAGCTGGCAGTATATATATATATTTCATCTATATCTTGTCAGTGGCTGAAATGTAGTAGTAAGATGCAACTAGAATAGACACATTGAATCAATGGAACTTTCATAGTTGTTGACTTAACAAATCTTCACTAATTCCATGGAGCTACTCTAGTTGTGACTCACTACTAGATTTCACTTGTGGTTTCCTACAAGTCAGGGTGGTGTTCAGAGGTTCTCAGACAGTTTCCCATCCAAGCAATGACTAGAGCCAGACTTCAGCTGCAACAAGGTTGCTGCATTCTGTGCCTTTAGACCTGATATTGGGCACCACAATAAATATCACTGGACTCAATGATTCAGAGGATCCCTTCCAGCTCTGCATTTCTAAGATGGTGGTGGTGGTGATGATTACATATTGCTATTAACTGTCAGGAATGAATATCCGTGCCCCTAGAATATCTGATTTTGCCCAAAAAAATGTAAACAGTTTTCTGAAATTTTGTAAAGGAGGATAGCAATGTTTCTTCATAAGCTGAGGCTTAATGCAAAATGCTTTTGAAGCCGAATGACTATAGTCACTGACTATGAGGATCAATACAGAAGTGTAATTATAATGACATGGACAGGAGATGGAGGAAGGACATATAATTAAAATAAATACCTGATATAATGGGGTAGACTAAACATGTGAACATGGTGTCAAGAATGCTTAAAGCCCAGAGTGAGTTGACACTCATGAGAGTAGTTAAAATAATAAAAAGACATTTGTATTTAGAATAGTTATCAGAAAAACCAGGATTTAAATCTGATACTTGGGAAAGTGAAATGTCAACAAGTGCTAGCAGCTTGCAGTCCAAGCCAGGTGAGCATCTTCTCCCCACCGTTTGAGGTGACATCCTCTCCTCACTTGGACTGTGATCCCCTTTAGCTAACAGCTAACACAGTGAAGGAACAAATAAGTATCTGTTTTGCTTTCGATTTCTACCAGAAACAAAATTCTATTCTCTCTGAGCATAGTAAACTAATAATGTTGCATGTGCAAGCCCTGCCCTCAACATATACATCTGGGATCATCTGAATACTCTTAGCTTAAATATATTCATGCAACTGGGAACTCTTATCTTGGAGAGGATAGACACAGCTTTGCCCTGAATTCATGTACTGCATGTCTTTGTCTGGATCACAAACAGGGATATTGGGTTTGTACACATGGACTGTCTCAAAAACATTCATTTCAGCTCAACTTTACCTCCTTTTTTGACATAGGTACAGTATTAGTCTGGTGGGGTATGAAAATCCTGGACACAGCATGTCTTATTTATACAAAGTATTTGAGAATGTCTCGCACGTTTCACAGGGTTTGTAATTTTTTAGGATTCACAAGCCAAATAAGCACAACCAGGTTTTTTAAGCCATAAAAGATAATTTAAAATGCACTTAAATATATGGAAACACTGTGGACATTGAATAGCAGCCAGAATCCTGTTGGTGTTCACTAGAGACCTTTGGTTAGTGTGGGCGGCATATAAGTAAGTAAGTAAGTAAGTAAGTAAGTAAGTAAGTAAGTAAGTAAGTAAGTAAGTAAGTAAGTAAGTTAGCTAGTTAGCTAGTTAGCTAGTTAGCTAGTTAGCTAGTTAGTTGAATAAATGAATGAATGAATAAATAAAGAAATAAAGAAATGAGATTTGCATAACTTTCCATGGCTAACTGCAGCTAATTAATGAACTGCTGAGGTGTGTTTCAGTCATGTGCCTGATTGCAAAGCTGAATTATGCCCTGACATGCACACACTCATAAGTTTCCTGCAGCACGTTACACAGAATCCAATAGGATTCCAGCCTTCTTGTCTTTAGCAAAATATTTAAGAAGGTCTCCCACAACTTTTTCAAGATGGTGATACCTAGATAGACTGTAGCTGACTGAAAAATTGTACCAAACAAATCTCATTAATGGCTGTGCCTCAACCTGCAGAGAGATCCCAGGTAGAATGTTACAGGGCTTTGTGCTTTGTTATATACTGTTTCAACATTTTTTAAAATGACTTGGATGAGAACATGGAGATGTAACTCCTCAAATCTGAAGATTAAAGGAAGATAGGAGTAAGTTAGTGGAGTGCTATATCTTGTTTGCATTGCATCTGCAGTAGTCTACATTGGTTGCTAATCTGTTAGACAGAACATTGCTATTAGTATTCTAAGCCCTATACAACTCAAGGTCATGTTACTCCAAGGAATGGCTGGCCCTGCCTATCTCTCAGGCCGATATGATTATCAAGCAGGCACTGTTGTCTAAGCCTAGGAATTTCCATTTAGTTGTGACAGCTGTATGGTTGCCTCTTCTGCAACTTGCCGTTTTACACTCACTGTCTTCCCATCATGAGCGTTTAGGAACTATCTCATATGTTGAACGCTTTGTTGCATCGATCCATTGAATTGTAGTGATATGCTAAACTTATCAGGACTTGTGCACATGAGAAGCAGTAAAGAAATATTTATAAGCCCAGATAAGAGATCCACAAAAGCTAATGCTCTTTTCTTTACTGACATAAAACTTAACACTTGCTCTTCAAATTAAAAATGAGAACTGAATATATACATATATATTTCCCTCCTAGTCTGGGAAATTCTCCAGCAGTTCTCCTACACCTCAGAACCAACCACAAGGGCTGCAGTATGCTGAAGATGCTGTGGAACATGAGAATATGAAGGCTGTCCTGAAAACATCCTCTCCAAGTGTAGAGAACGCCACCGTCTTAGGAGTACGCACTCGGAGCAGAGCCAGCCGAGGTACCTAAATGCTGAGATTATTCTTGACTCAAAATCAAGTCATCTGTGAATGATTTAGTGCCAGTATTCCATTAAGGTGCAGCATGCAATGGACAAAAATCCCCCTGCCCGCCCGGTCACACTCAATTCCAAATGAAACTATGTGGCTATTTCCTCACTGGGCCATCTGGTTCAACTATTGGAGGCCAACCAAGGCTCTTGAGTGGTACTGAGAATTGAGCTTGGCTCCAGGCAGCAAACCCAAATGGCAGACTTTTAAAGCTTTGTTGGGACACATTTTAACTGTATTCACAGGCAGAATTGTGTCACATGATGTGAAATAAACAATATAACTCAACTTCTGAGATGGCACTGTTTTACAACTTTTTGTATTTTACAACTTCTGTGGATTTTATTTCCATGGTAAGGGATAATAGCGAGCGAGAGAGAGAAACCCCTGCATTTTTTGGTCCTGGAAATGTCCAGCAGCAGTAGTAGCTGGTGGTCTGGACATACAAGGTTCCCAATCCCATAAATAATTTTTTAAAAAATTAGTAGTACACGTCCAGGCGCTTTCTGTTTGCATCCTTTTTTAAAAAAGAGAGAGAGAGAGAGAGAGACAGAAACAAACATTGTGGGTGATCAAACACCCACCCTAAAGTATGGCAACATCCTAATTTGCCTGTTCTGTTGGGCTTGTCCTATACCAGATTGTTTTCATCCATATCTTGGCACATATAGTTGTTTCTTTTATGCAAGAAATTTGTTTGATGGTAGTATTCCTGCTACGGAATGTAGCCACTATTGTGGGACACAGTAATAGCTTTAATGCAGGCTTGTCCAACCTTGGCCCTCCAGATGTTCTTAGACTACAGCTCCCAGAAGCCTTCACCACCACCTCTGCTGGCCAGGATTTCTGGGAGATGAAGTCCAAGAACATGTGGAGGGCCAAGGTTGGACACCACTGCTCTAGTGAATGATGAGTCACATTGAAAATATTACAGTATTGGCATTTTTCTGAAGTTCTAGAAACATCTACAAGGCACAGAACAGAACAGACATCCATGAAATGGAACCTGTATCCAGATAGTACTAGCATGCTTAGATACTAAAATAGTAACACATGTTCTTAATTATTGAACACATTGGGCCTAAATAATAGCGCACTGCAGAAGGGTTTTTTTATGTTGCCCCTTTCTGCTTTCCAGGTCGTATTGGCTCATGGAACACTGGCATTGATGATTCACCTAATGCCACAGATGACACGGCAGATGAGATAATGGATCGCATTGTCAAGTCTGCCACGCAAGTGCCAAATCAGCGAGCAGTGCCTAGAGAAAGGAAGCGATCAAGAGCAAACAGGAAGTCATGTAAGTAAAACTGATGAGCCAAGAAGAATTATTTATTCTATTTGTGTCTGCATAGGCACATAAATGTGCAGTCATACTATTTAAAAAACAGATAGAATAGAAATTTTTATATATAGCATAAAGATAGGGGAAATGTTATATTGCTTTATTTACCATGTTAAATTGCAGATCTCATCATCCCAGCTTGCTAGCTATGCTGGGAACTGATGAAATTTGAGAATCATGTTCTATCCATGGAGTAAGAGAACAAGTTATTCATTGATATATATAGAATAGCATAGCTCCTGAAGTGATGCATTAAATTACTTTATTTATTCAGTTTGAAGTCCTATATGGATTTAGCCTAGATATAAGACCTATTGAATTTAGTAGGAAACATCCAAATACTGTAGTTGTATTTAGGCTTAACTAAATGACTTCTCTTTGTAGATAAAAGTGAATTTAAAAATTAGGAGAGTATATTTAAATAATACATGCAATAATAAACACAACCATGTATTTCAAGAACAGGCAATTCCATATTAAAAATTTGGTAGAATAAAAATATTTCAACAGCTTGTTTGAAGCTAAAAAGAGACTAACCAAACTATATATCTGTAGGGAGGGAGTCCCATAATGTTGACACCACAAGCAAAAAGGTCCTGTTTTTTGTCCCAACTTGTTAAAACAGTACAGCTGATGCTGAATTAACCTGTATGAAACTTTTCTAACTCACTGTCCAAAATTCATGATCTTTTTATTTCTATTTAATCTAGATGTTACTTTGGAATTAAAAATATTTGTCACTCAATTTTCTGGCTGATTCATGTGGTGGTGGGGAGCCCTGCCATGTCTTCCTTTTATAATCATTTCAAAACTATATTGAAATCTCATTAGATTAAGAAGGCTTTAGCAACATCCTTGATCATCTTCATCTATACAGTGGTGCCTCACACAACGATGTTAATTGGTTCCAAAAAAATCAACGTTGTGTGAAACATCGTTCTGTGAAACACCATTTCCTATAGGAATGCATTGAAAACCGGTTAATCCGTTCCAATTGGAACGGATTGCCGTCTTTAAGTGAAAAAAACCATAGGAAACATCATTGAGTGAAACAACGGTTCCTCCATTGGAATTGATTGAAGCCGACTCAATACATTTCAATGGCTTTGCGAAGTCCGTTTTTGCTCATTTAAAAGTGCCTTACAATGTTTGGAACAGGTTTTAAATGCTTGCAATCGTTAGCCCACCTCCTGAACCCTATGCAAACTTAATTTGGTGTTATTCTGAGTCGTCTAATTTTTGGTGATTTTTTGAATTTTCTCTCATTGGAATGCACAGATAACAAAAGGGGCAGGTCAGAAATGCAAACAAAACAAAGGAAAAAGCAAGGGAAACATGCAGGACCCATCGGAAATAGATCATATCAGGAGAGGCTGCTATACTTGTAAATGTGATCCAGTTGGGCCCAGAAATAAATACAGTGGTGCATCGACTTATGAACTTAATCCATTCCAGAAGATGGTGGAAACCGAAACGATCGTAAGTCGAAGCACCATTTCCCATAGGAATGCATTGAAAGGCGGGATCACAAAAAAAACCACAAAAAACCTGCAAGACCCATAGGAAACACGATTAGGAAACACGATTAATCCGTTCCGTCCGAAGGGGAAAAAACCCAAAAAGCAGACAAACCCTGCGAGACCCATCGGAAATTCAAAAAAGAAACCCAAAAAACAACAAAAACCCCAAGACCCATCGAAAATGGGGGGACCCAAAAAACAAACAAACCCACCAAGACCCATCACAGCACAGAAACATAAACCCCCACAGCTCAAAACCACACTGCAAAAACACAGAGAACAGTTTTTAAAAAGCAGAAAATAGCATCTTACCTTACAAAACAGCCCAAAGCCTCCCTGCAAACACACACACTCACTCAGAAGCACAAGCAAGGCAGTCCCTAGCCTCCTCCGACACACACTCTCTAACTGCTGGGGCGAAAGAGCTACAAAGAAGAAGCCTCATCACCACCTACAGTTAGAAATTTAAATTTCCCGCCTTTTTTCCCTGCCTTTTTCTGCTCGTAAGTGGAAGTTCAGGTTGCAAGTAGAAGCAAAATTTTGTGGCCGGAGCTGGTCGCAACTCAAAATGGTCATACCTAGGAGCGTTCGTAAGTCAAGGCACCAGTGTATATCCAAATTGACGGTCATGCCTAGTGGGTTGGAGGAAGTAAAATCTTCATTGAAGTCCAGTCTCATGAAAAAGGCTCTTTTCATAGTGACAGAATTTCTGCCAGTTTTGGTATTTCAAAAAGCAAGTACAGAAAGTAGCCACATAATCCATTTGTTGAATCAAGTTGAAGGTTGGGCAATATCTTTATTGGGTTACTTTAAAAGTCTTTCAGATTCTCCCAAACTCTTCATGAGACAAAGTTGGTACAAGCCTTGGGATTAGGTAAAGAGTGAAAAAAATTGGGTCGGTTGTGATGTCTTTGGCTCATGAAAGCCAGAGAGCCAGAAAAGCAAAATGGAGTCTTACATTTCCTGTGGGAAAAGGTGACATTTTACAGTCTCCCGTCCTCTGCCAGCCAAAAGTACAGTCCCTGCTGACTTCTCCTAGGGGCATTTTTGAAAAGTTTTGTCAGAAACCTATATATCAACCGTTTACATATTCTTTTTGTGCAAGTTCTCCTTGCATCACTTGCTGCATACAGAATGCATTTAACCATGGAGTTGGTATCAGATGAAGTAACTTATAAAACCACTCTTGTTTGCATATGTGTAAAACTGTGCCTATAAGTGCTGGAATAATTATTAAGAATAAAATATTTAGTAATACTTTTTGTCTTAATATTTATACACGTCACATTTTAGCAAGCTTTTGGAGCCATTAAGATATAGTATGATGAAATAGAACATTAAATAACAGTGAAATCAGAGCTTTCTAATGCCCTCTTCATTCTTTTAGCATTTTTTAGAAGTTAGACCAAAGGACAGACAAGCAACAGTGAGTGAACTATCTCAGGCTCCAGCTAGTCAATGCTGTTACAAATTAAGAGCATTTTGCATCAAGTGACAGTTGAGTCTCATTAACCTGCATGTGCATAGGACCATATTCACTTTCCCCAGAATGGTAAAAGAGGGGATCCCGCATGTATCCATTTCCTTAGCAAGAAAACACAGAGCAGACATTTTAACGGAATGAGCAGGCAATGCAGATGAGTGGACACTGGCTGGTCTTTCTTTCCCGCTGCGGTCCTCAGCAGCATATCTACCACTGGCTTTACCCCATGCTTATATATATATCCTTCCATGTGCATTTGCATTTTCCAAATGTATCAGTTGCTTTAGGTGACATGAAAGGTGTGGGTATGAGTGGGTGTATTTGTGCATGCATATATGTCTGTGTGATTCTACCCACAGCTTGTCCTGTATTAAATATTGCCATTTTGAGCTGCCTTCAGTTCTTATTCTCTCCCCCATGTTAAGGCCTCATTTGTTCCATGTCTGTATCCAAGCGTTTTTCTCATCAGGATTTGGTTGTAGGAACAAATAAACAAAAAGCATGATTTTTTTTTTTAAAAGTCCATATTATTCAGCAAGGCAGGGTTTCATCTATGCTCAGGGGAATACATCAACAGTGAATAAGGATTCTGTCAATTTCTAGGCTGCTGCCTTTAATAACTTGAAAGTCAAAAGCTCAGCATAAATTTAAGTTACCCAAATATCAACTTCAAAGCGGATGTCTTCATCTGGTGTACGGGAATAGATACCCAGGTACAAAAGTGGTAGAAAGTTAAAGTAACTTGTTTGTATCCATTGTTTCATGAAATGCTGTACCCTAATGTATAAAGCAGACACAGCTAAGCACCATACCACCATGAATACACCCAATTTTGTCTCATGTTAGAAACTAAACAGAGTTTGTTAATGCTTGGAAGGGAGATGCAAGGCCCCAGCTGTCAGGATCTTACCCATTTCCTGGCAAAGGTTTTTTGTTTGGTTGGTTGGGTTTGGAGGCGGGGGTAGTGCCGTATAATGGCACAGTTGGAAATCACTGATGTGACAGGAGGCTACCAGAATCTGGTATGGAACCCTGGACAGCCACTGCCAGTCAGAGTTGACTCCAGTTGGGTAAATAGGACAGTATAGATTGAAGCCAAAATCAGAACAGCAGCAGGAAGACATAAATTTGCACAGCTATACCTGTGCAGACTCCTCATTCCAGCATGAACTCTGATAGATTCCTGCTGATCCGGGGGAGGGGGGGCGTGCTTCCATGTGTGGTTCTAGTCATGCTTAGTCAAACCCACTTGTGTTATGACAGAAGCATGCTTATTTCCTTTATGGTGGTAGTCCCATCCTCCTCCCCCACCACCCCACATACTTGTGGTTAAACGTTATCTCAGTCATTAACATCAATGTCAGTTGATTCTCAAATTAGTGTGCTTAGGATGAAGGCCATTAGGAATCAATTAGAAACTTAGAAGAAATATGTTAATATATTCTAAAAATATTATTTTAAATTGTTCTGTTTTTCCCCATACCTATTATGCTAAATGACAGGTCTATCTACTATACGACTTGATTCCACATTGGAATAATTGTCTATAAAGTCTGTAAATGGTCCTCTTGAAGAAGATAGTGGTTTTGATTCTGCGCTTGCCATGATTGTTTGGTTTCCTATATTCCTATATTTAGGCAGCAATTCTGCACCCCTACCATGAAGGGGTACACACATACTGAGTCCAGAGAGACTTGATTCTGAAGAGACCTTTAGACTGCTGGACCCTTCATTCAGTACTTTTTTTTTCTTTCTATTTCTGACTACTCAGTAAGACGGACACTTAAGAGTGGACTGACACCAGAAGAAGCCAAAGCGTTGGGTCTGATGGGCACTTCCGAAATGCAGGTGTGATGACAGCATCCAAGAAGCGACAAGAACCACCATCTGCCTACATATGTACATACATGCATACACACAGGCTGCCAAAAGCCTCTCCGTTTAGCCTTTTCCTGCAACTTCCCTCTATTGCTCATCATCCGTCACTATTTTTAGATGCATTTTCATAACGCTGAAGCAAGCAAAAACAAATTAAAAATTATTTTTAAAAATGTACTGAGCACAAAGGGCTACAATTAAGACGTGTGGAAATGACCACTACCAAAAAGAAATCAGGGCCAGGGGTGATTTGGAAATCATGGAACACTTTTTCTGTTTTGCTTCATTGGTAAGCTTTTAGATTTTTTTTCCCCTGTACTGTGCGGAAGGTGTTCATTTTTCGAATGAGTTATGTAGTAATTGTAAAATACTGTTCTGTCAGTTCAAGGACAGTCCTTTAAATAGGCAAACTAACTTCTGATGCGATTACTGTGTCCTGTCTGAAGTCAGTATTGTTAGAAGTGCACCATTGTTTTTCTTTCCTCCAAAGAATGTACAAATGAATGTGTAGCTGTGTGTGTATACACACACAAACACACACACACACATACATGCCCCTACCAAGTCCAGGTGCCTTCAGTTTAAATTCATCCTGTCCTGCAAGAAGGGAGATTCTTTTTTTACATTAACTTACTGGGTTTTGGTGGAATTCTGCTAGAATACTTTTTTATTAGGTCTTCTTACAGACATGCACATTATGTATTATGATGTATATTCACAGGGATAGCACAAGAGTACCTCTTGTTGCTCAGCTCCGGTGATGAATGTACATATGTACTGTAATATATACTATAGTAGTGTGATTTAGCTAGAGACAAAATAGGGTTTTCAGTCACAGTCATATAGGAGTTTAGTGCACGGGCTGGGCCTATAAGGCTGCTCTTTGAATGTAATATCACAATGTTTGTAAAGTTGTTTATCCAACTGAATGGATTATGTAAGGGTACTGCTTAAAACTCTTCTGTGGTGATGTTTTCCTGGCAGTCGCCGACTAGGAGGACACAAGAGGGAAAATAACTGCTTTGGACATGGAAACTGTCTCCCCGTCCTGTATACAATGGTATTTTGGGGTGTCGCTTTGTTTTCTGTAACATCCATAGATTTCCTTCCTGAAGTCAATGGACAGTACTGTAGTTTGAAGAATGTATTTCAGAGAAACTTTTGACCTGTGATTCCATAATTTGCATTAATCAACTCTTTCGTGAGAAATGCAGTGCAATGTTTTGGGTTTCATAAGGATAGGTATAGAAGGGAACTTATTACACTAAAACATACCTCCAAGCTAGTGGTACTAAAGAAGTCATGATGAGTGCATCATTTTTTTCTGTGTCAGTCCATTGTTTGGCATTTTTGAGGCACTGTGCTTGAAAACTATTTTTTGCACAAGTTGTCATAAGGCCTTTGTATTATTCTGGAGGAATGCAGCAAAAATGCCCAAAGGAATTCTACACAGCCTTTACACAGACAACAGACATGAAAAATCCCAGCGTTGTATAATATGTTCACTTGACTCAATTTTTTGTCATGTAATTTATCTTCACCTAGACTTTCTATGAGGACAACAGTCTCTTGTTTGAGAACGTACCTCCTGAGCTTCTGTGCAGAGTTCTCATTAGTTTTTGCTACACTGTTTTATTTAGAATGCAATCCTAATCATACTGACTTAGAAACAGGTCCCACTGGGTTCAGGGATGCTCAGGTGGGTGTAAGATTGCAACTTAATATATTAATAAACTTAGTCAGTACAGCCTTATGAATAGGAGGGAGGCCTTCTTAGTAAACAGGAAACTGACATTTAGTATATTAGATTCTTTTCTCTTTCAAAGGATAATAAACATCCTTGGCAATGGCTTTCTAAATCCTGACCATTAGAAATATTTTGCACGTTTCCAATAGTTTGCTCCATAAACATTTTGCACATTTAAGGAAAGGGCTGCCAAACAATTGCTGGTTAAAATACTAAGACAGAAAATATGTTTACAGTACTTATGCACAAGGATAATAAATTCTAACTAGAGATGGGCATGAATTAAAAATGAATCACTAAATTCATCAAAAATTGCTAATTTATTGATTCTTAGTCATCCAAATTGATGCCCCTGACAAATACAACTCAGTGATTTTTTTAGCAATTTTTGGTTTGATGATTTGTTTGGTTAAAAATAGCCCCCCAAGCACCTAGAGACACCAAAATCTCAGAGAAGTATCCTTTACTCTCCTCTACATTCTCTCCAAGTTTGGGGAAGATTAGGTTTCCCTAGGTTAGCTGCTAAAGGGCAGTTTCCTGGGGAGGACCCACTTTGTGGGTGTACAACTCGAATGACTGAAACGCAATCATCACCAAACTTGCAGGGCTTGTAGCAGAGAGTCATTAGAAGCTACAATCATCATCAAACTTGTAGGGCTTGTAGCAGAGAGTCATTAGAAGCTTCTTGTGATTTTGGCATCTCAAAGTGCCTGGAGGCTATTTTATAGAGGGTTAAAGGCAAAACAAATCAATTAGTCAGATAAATTCATAAATTCATTATTCCTGATTCATCTATTTTATAGGGGGTTAAAGGCAAAACAAATCAATTAGAAAAATTCATAAATTCATTATTCCTGATTCATCAACCTTGAGGAATCATGAATTGAAACAAATTACCGTTTTTTCCAATTCCATCTCTAATTCTGACAACCAAGCTCTTTTTTGTTAAAACAATAAGCAGCATGTAGTTCACTTTCAACCAAATTCCTTAGGCAGCTTGCAAAACATCTTTATGTAGCAGATTATCTTCTCCTTACAGACTGAGGCAGTGAGTGTTAGGATTAGATATACATACAACATGTTTTATATAAACCATATTTTTCTCTGATTTTGCCACACATGCTCATTTGAAAACAGAGTTCGCAGCTGACTGATATTTACACAGAAAACCTAGTCTACAGGAAAACTTTGCATTTATTTATTATTGGCAAATAAGACACTCTCAAATATTTCTCCACAAATAATTTTATAATCTCAATGGAATCGTTCCACAGGAAATATTTTCTAGATGGCAGTTATTTGGGCTCATGCTCTAGCTCAGAGGAATCTGTTACTTCTTTTTCTTTCAAAATTTAATCACAATCTGCTTTTGAAATTCCCTCTACATGCAGTTTGTCACGTGGAATGAGATGAGAAAGCACCTATTTGAAAAAACCACATATATATACCAACTGCTCATGGAATCAGTTTGAATGGATTCTAGTTGCATCATCCTATTTATTACAGAAGACTATTATAGCGCCTTGCCATAGAGTACTCTTAAGCTTGTCTGTGATTAACAGACCTTTTGTATTCCTAATCAAATGAGGTCATAATTTTTTTAAGTCAAACCGACAACAGGAATAACTACCTAAAGAAAATAAAGGTACCTGCATTTTGTGTGAAGCAGGGCCAGTTTTACTGGGGGTGGAGGTTGTTTTGTTTGTTTTATGTTTTTTTTTATCAATGAGGACAAAATGAATACTTAGAGAGGAGGAGAATTTTCCTTGAATTTTATGTTTCAGGGTCCACCTTGAATTTAGAAATGAATGCTACACAAGTAGTATAAAGTTTGCCGTATAGCTTCCCACTAGTCTGACTTCCCAAGTGTCTTTTTAAGTCATGCAATGTAACCTTGCATCACTCCCAAAGCATTCCGGAAACTTCAGGAGACTTCTGAATGAGTACCTTTCTATTGGATGGAGCTCAAAACAAACAGTAAGCAAAGAAAAATTGAAAACCTTCAGCCATCTTGGAAACTTAGAAGTGGCAACACCTCCACTCCGTTTTTAATTGGAATTTCTTCACACGAAGATACCTTTTCAAGGAGTAATTATTAATAATCACTGAAAAAATCAATAGAAAATGAGATGATACCTTTTCAAGGAGTAATTATTAATAATAATTATGTGCCGTCAAGTCATTTCTAACTTATGGCAACCCCTTCCAGGCTGTTCTAGGGTATAGAATACTCAGAGGTGGTTTACATCCTCTTTTGTTGTTATACCATACAGTTTGCTGAAGGCTATACAGGTTAATGTTTCTCCCAGAAGCATAGTAGGGAATCAAACTCTCAACCTCTCGCTCTCTAGCCAGGTAGCCAATTCATGGAGCTATCCATTGGAGTAACTCTCCAGCCAATTCATGGAGCTATCCATTGGAGTAGATACTTCTGCCTTTTAAGGTTTAAGTCTGCTTTTTAAGGTTTTCAGTAACAGTTCTCCAGTTCTGGGTCCTGTTATTTCAACAGGTTCCTGCTAAGCAACTATCAGATATCTGTAAAATGTGATGTTACATGTTTAATAAGGAGATGGATAGATCATCAGCTGATGCCCTCCTCCAACAAAAATAAAATAATTTGTTTCCAGGTTTTAAAAGTAACATCTCAATCAGATTTATGTTCCATCTCCAAGATAAAGGATAAAAGTATTTGGCCAATTGGACATTTCAAGGACCATAACTATTAAGTGATGCGGCAGATATGCCCAAAAGAACACTCCACAACATTCTTCAAAATATAAAATCAATGTGATGTGTACATTTTTCCTTCACTATTCCTTGGTAGATTTAAACAGTTACAATTTAGGCTCCAGATGCTGTGGGTGTATTTGTCTACTCAGCTATACCTATCATTTTTTAAAAACTCTTGCTCTGTGTGTGTTTTAAAAAGGAATTAAAATGCTGGTACCAAAAAGTAACAAGGACGAGTAATTCAGGCTTTATTTAGAAGCACTAAATAGTTATTTCCCCATTTCTTCTAATTAATTTTTATTTCCTAAATAAAAAGTTTAGATTGATCCTGGGCATAAGCAAAAACCAACACCTTCTTTAGTATTTTTTTTCACATTTGGAAAGCATGCTGTTCAGTTTCCCTTCTTATATGGAAAAACTGTAGCTGGTTAAAAGTAGAATCCTTCAGATGTGGCAGTTGGAATACAGTGGCCAAAATCCAATTGCATTTTTACACTGGTGTGACAGAGTTGGCATAAATCTTGGTGGCAAGTACAAGTTAAAAAGCCAGCAAGGGCATTTGCTGTTGTGTGCCAAGCCATTTTACTTGTTGAATGGCAGCAAATACCTGTGTTGACTTTTTAACTTGTGGCAATTCCCACTGAGATCTGCATTTGTTACATATTCAGGAGGCATAACTAATAGGATTTGAATCAGTATATGATAATACGGAATCTGGTTCCTAGATTGCATGATCTTCCAAAGTAGTCCATTGTCCTTTGTCTCATGCTATGCTCTGTATAGTTGAAGTAGTTATGTGCAACCTTTTGAGCACTGACACATCTAGTGTTGGCCACGGGCCAAACATGCATAAACCTATTACAAGCTGTGAATCTGATAAATCTGCCCATTATGCAGGAATCTCCTTTGAAGCTTCTGTTTATTCAAAACAATTAGCAGAAAGAAAACAGAGATCTCAACAGGACGGGCCCTACCATTAGTCAAAATAAGGCAGCCACCTCAGGTAGTGGGATGTGAATATCTCCTACTGCTCTGTTCTTGTCTGCATTGTGTGGCTACTTCTACAGGATGGACCACTTTTCTACCAATGCCAGGATTCAGGAGACCTTGAAATTGCCTATGTTGTCCAGTTTCTAGAAGTGCCCAGAGATTGCATAATGGATTGGTGCAGCAAGGGCCCTCTGAGGATAGCAGATTTTTGTCTCCTCTGCTTGTTCTCTGAGAAGGATGTGATGGGCATCCTTGTAGTGTGACCAATGGGAATTGATATTTCCTTTCCACCCCCTGTGAACCTGCACTGAACTAAATGCGATTGTCACCGCAAGAGCTTTTCTCACTTCCCACAGTTTACTTCCATTGGTCTTTGGGGCATAAGCGCATTGCTTGCAAGTTGGCTTTCACAGACAGAAAAGTCTGCCTAAATCACATTTCTGAGATTCTAAGATGATTTGTAGTGTAAAAATTGATCTGAAGGTCGCTGACAACAGCAGCAGAATAGCATTCTGCTAAACCTTAGAGCTCCTAGGTGCACACCTCTCTTTTACCAACCCTAATCATCTGAAAGTGTTCTATAATGGCCTCTGTTAACTTCTGTTGTTGACTCTTTCAGCTAATACCATTTATTTATTGGTTCAGAAGAGACTAAATGTAACCTGAAAACTTAACTCCAGGCTGTAGATTTGCTATATTCTAATTTAAATGAAGAGTACTGTCAGTCTCACATATCTTCCCACTCTGTTTCTTCCCAGAAATGCTTGAGGTTTTTTTTTAGGAAACCATAGTGAGCCAGCTGTTTACCAAGAATGGAAGTGCCATTTTAAAAAATGTAGCTGAGACAGGCTGGCGGCTGGCTATAGGGCTGTGATATGAAACACAAACAGTGCAGTCCTGTTTCTGTTCACTTATGTATTTCTGCACTGAGTGTGTGCTCAGAAGAAAGTCCCATGGGGGGAAGGCCCTTAGCTCAGTAGTATAACACCTTGACACCTCCCCTTCTAAAAAAGGAAGGCAATATATTGGAGCAGTTTGAAGTCTAACAGTTTTATTTCTGTGTGAACTTTTATAGATCAAAATCGACTTTCCCAGACAAACAAAGGCCAGTATAATTTATATATCTATCCTATGACCAGGTGAGGAGTCAAAAATATTGTATATGCAAAGTGTCAAAAGTTCAAAAACACAGGAATGGTGCTGTCAAGTTGTTAATTTCAATTAGCAGGTTGTAGACTTGGCTGCATAGAAATCCTAAGATATATTTCTGAGACAGAGGTCAAGGGAAACAACTTTTATACTCATTTAAGATATTACAGAAAGCTGGGTTATTACTATATGTGGTTATCGAAGAAGCCTTGATTTCTATTGAGGCCCTAGAACTGATACAGCTAATGTTTGTCTCCCTCTTCCTTCCCTATGTAATTACAAACCGAATTTCCCACCAGGACTTTCATAATTCTGAAATAGTTTGAGATTTATAGTATCAGTATATATTGAAATACACTCCGTCCAGATTATAGAAGAAAAGGGTGTCTCTGCACCCTTCTATGTCTAATCTTTAGATTTTGTAAAGCACAGAAAGGGTTCTTTTTGACTAAAATAAGGCATTGCTTTTCCAGCAAGCCTACTAAAATTTATTTCTTCAAGACATGTCACTTAATCCGCTACTTGTATTACTCGATCTAGTGATCTGAGGTGAGGAGTCAGAATTTAGTTGTTCAGCAGTTTACTTAATACAACTGTTTCAAGGGAATGTTCTAAATATATTTTAATTTACATACATGCTGGGAAAATCCTTTAAATTTATTTTGAAATTCTTTGTTACTTAACATTTTAACAGCTGTGAAATTATTATTTTTTTCCATGAAAGAAGAAGCCCAATGGTGTATTTCTCTTTTTAAGGA